AATTGACGACATCTTGCCATGCTTTTTTTTGGACATCTTGCCATGCTTAATTTGTACTACTACTTGTCTAACCTTTAATATGATTGTTAAAATTAGTTTATAAGCTATATGCTCTTTCTGTCGGGTACACACACAGACAAACCTCTTGGCAGTTGGCATTTAAAGTAAGTTCACATGATCAAATGATAACATCTTTAACTAAAACCACCTTTGATCTGGTAAACACGCGATTTGATTATTAATTAGTGATCTTTTAATGTAAAATTGATTAAGTACTGTTAAAAGTATACGTATTTGATAAAAGTAATAAAATAATAGTTTAAAGTGATAGAATTATTTTACATAAACTGTCCTTTTCCTTGTTTGTTAATACTAAAAGCCTAAAGACCCGTGGCATGCTTGTGTTTGTGTATGATTCATGCCTTCTATCTATCTACAGAATGTCGTTTTTTTTTCTTTTTTTTTTGAAAACCCACAATGCCGTTTCTGTATTATTATGTATATCTGTCCAGGAACAAGCCAGGGACTATCCATGGAAATGGTCAAAGCACAAACCCACAATGCCGTTTCTGTACTTTGATCATGGCCCAAATCATTCCCACCCATGGAAATGATGCTCACCATCAAACCTCTTTCAAAATAAAATAAAGAGTAAAACCCACATCAGACTAAAAAATTGAACTAATCAACCAGTTCCTTCTATCATATCAGTAACATAAATATTTGATTAATCAACAAATCCTCTATGCCAAAATCTTTGAATACAAAAAAAAAAAAAAACTACTATGGAACTAGCACTATCATTAACATCAACAGATCATCACCATCAGTTGAACAATGATCCATCGCCTTCAGAGGCACATCCAGACACTATGGATTTTCTATCTCGAGAATGGTGTAATTTTGCTGTTCAATCTCTTCAACCCGACCATATAATCGACGACCGTTCCATTGTTCCCGTAGAGACATCAATCGCCAAGTTTCAATGCGACTCAAGTCTTGTTTCTTATGGTGTAAGTAACCACAGATTGTTTTTGTTTATTCATGATTCTTTCTTCAAATTGTTTTGGTTTGTGGATTTTAATTAATGAAGATTGTGAAAGTAGGAGATGGTTAAGAGTATGAAGATGGACGATCCAGATTTTAAGCCATCGATGCCTTCATGGAAAACCAATGATGTCAAGGTACATATATTATGTGAAATTATAATTTCTTCTCTAGTATGATTTGTTTGTTTTATGGATGTTCTTATTTTCAGCATGTAGTGTTTTTTTATTATTACAATCTTGTTAAGGTTATTTGATGCACATGATAAGTGATGAATATTTGATTGGTGACACAACTGAAAAATGGAAACATATAGAAACCGAATAAATTTACATTTAAGAATAACACATGGATTGATAGAAGTGAACCTAAAAGATCATCTCATATTGACAATATTTTTGCTGAATGATGTAGTCATGGATATGGATGCAACAAGCAATGCATCCGGAATTGAGCTACGATGGCTTCTTCCGCAAGAAACTTGTAAAACCCTATTTGGCTATTCCGTTTGGTTATGATTTTAATATAAAACATTCTAAACCATAACAATAATGGGAATTGTAGAAACTTCCATGGAAGATTACGCCATCGATAAAGAAATGGTGGAAAGAGATTAAAGCGAAACGAAAGGAAGAAGTGAGGCTACAGAGAGCTGAAGTCCACGCCGCCGTTTCATTAGCCGGTTTGGCCGCCGCTCTCGCCGCCGTAGCTTCAGAAAACGCCGCAAAATACTGTGGAAATGGTCGACCAACAACTAAAGAAACAGCCGTGGCTTCTGCGGCGGCTGTGGTGGCGGCGCAGTGTGCTCAGATGGCACAGACAGCGGGAGCAAACAGAGACCAGCTCAGGACAATGATTGGTTCCGCCATGACTGGGACAAGTGTCAGTGAGATACTCACTCTCACTGCCTCAGCTACAACTTGTAAGAAGAAGATTTAAGTTGTGTGTGTGTGTTTCTATAAGTATTCTCTGTTTCTGAGTCATTGATATTTGGTAAATAAAGCTTTGAGAGGTGCTGCGACGTTGAAAGCAAGAAGAAGTTGTAAGATCAATAGATTGAACGGCTCTGCGCCTGTGTTACCTATCGAAGACTCCTCTGATTTGCCTCCTGAATTTGACAAGAATACATGCCTTCTTGCTCAAGGAACAGATCTCTTCGTTGAGACACCAGATGGTATGTAAATCCTCTGTTTTTCTTCTCTCAACTCCTCTATTTTATGGATAAGTTAATTATATATGGCTATCATTGGACCGGAACAGGGGATTTCAAGGTTAGGACAGTGTCTATGGTCTTAAACAAGGACGGCAAGGTTTGAATCTCTCTCTCTCTAATCCTCATTACTCTTAACCAATCATGTTAATTAATCAATGATATTGTGTTTATATTACACAGGTGATTCTTAAAATGAAGAAACATAACCTACTCAGGACTAAGAAAGAATGTATGAGCTAGCTTCTTAATCCCTTGTGTGTTTGACCTAACTTGATCTTCAAGCAAAGATTTTAACGCATTGAGTATTTTGTATGTGTTTGTGTGATAAGGTATTGTGACGAATGTTCATGTGGAACTTTATAAAGATTCGGAGAGCGACATAGAAGACACTTGTTATCTGATTGTCCTGAAGACCAACATAGGAGCTATCAAACTAGACATGGCTGATGATTACGGTCGTTATAAGACATGGGTCACAACGATCCAACACATGCTCACTCTCTAGACATGGGTCTCACTTTCTACAACAGAAACTGAAGTGTTTCTTCGTTCTTGTTCTTAGATTTCTCTACGTAATTTACTTTAATTTGCACTAGAGCTTGATGTTGGTTTATATATATATATATATATATATATATAATATATATATATATATATATATATATATATATATATATATATATATATATTATATATATATATATACTTATGTTTCTATGTAACTATTATATATTTTAGATGTGTCATACTTTTGTAAGGCAATTGTATTGTGGATATTAGTTTTTTATATATTTATATATTTTTATTTTACTTCAGTGTTATGTGTTTTATATGTTGCACCATATAATGAATTATTATATATTTAAAAATGATGTAAACATGATCATTTAATTACGTGTATATAATTGACAGATATATCATATATTTCTAATAATCTATTTATCATATTGAAATGTTTCTTTTTTTTTTGTAATAATATGCAATAAATTTTAACGATTTTTTATATAGACAAAATCTATATTACGCAAGTGAATTTTATATTTTAAATAAATAAAGAAGAAACTTTTTTAAGAATATGAAATATATTTTCTCAAATCATTTTTTTCTAAAAAACATAATAATCACCTTCTTAATAAAAATGTTATTATACTTATGATTCAAACTAGGTCGTTATAAATATGATATGAGCCAAGATGCAGGTGAAACATCAAGTTGTTTTGTTTCGCAAACCCAAACCTCAAGGATACTTCCATCTTCATCTTATATTGTGTAGAATCGTGACACATAATAATTGTATAATATAAAAATACTTTTTCGATGAGAGATCCAGTTTAACTGAGGTATCCTTCCTTAGCAAGGTATTCACAAGGAATTTGCAGGCCAAAATGACACTATCTTCTCATTTCAGAGCATTGACTGAATTTCATCGAGTAACTAGAGTAGAACCTGGGATCTTGGTGAATGTTGAATGGAAAAAACGATGGAGAAGATGAAGAAGACAGTTTGAAACATATATTACCTTTCACGGTGATGGCTATTACCCACTTAATTTCTTTGTGACTTGCTTCACTAAAGATGATTGAATGCTGAGCTAGTTTGTTGGCTTCACTAAATATGATTGTCAGCTGAGCTAGTTTTGTCGGCAGTATCTACTACCACATCAAGATGCTTGTTTAATGTAAACTTCCTTTTTACTCTCAACTATTAGTTGCTAACATGGCAAATGTCTATATCAAACAGAGAACAAATTCAAAAAAATCAAAATCCTAGAACTAGGTCATTACCCTAGCCGCAACTAGAGCTGTGCGAGCACAAATTGTGTACATAAACGATAAAAAATGTCTTCCAAATATTTTTGTTATTGAAAATAATAAACGAAATAATACTTTTAAACACTTTTTCATTTATTTTCTACAAATTCATTGACTATAATTCAAAAATCAAAATTTAATTTTTTTTCAATAGATAAGATAGCTAAGCCACTTAATTTTTCTTGTAATATAATTGAATGCGCATAAAATTTATCAATTTTAGTTTTGAAATTTTTTTCCGACAAATGCAATCTAAACTAATATATTTCTATTAATATATAAGATTATGATTATTATTTACGATTAGGCAAATCATATAAAACTGTTCAAGCAAATAAAACTAAATAATAAAGTAATTGGAAAGAAGTTAATTATAATGATTGGTGAGAAAAAGTTAGATGAAAATCTTTGTCAATATAAAATATTCAATTTTTGAAAGTGATTGTAGTAGGAATATATGGTAAGTCGACAATAGTGTTATGTTCTTTCATTGCGCTAAACTCTTTTAGGATTAACAAATTATTTTAAGAGCTCTTAATTAATAAACTAATAATGGACTAATAAACTTTTTTTTAGTTATGGCCTATATTTGATATTTTAGCATCTTATCCTAATCTCATAAATATATTTATTATTTAAGTTAATAATTAATTAAATACATGTTATTAAGTGTTATTTTCAATTTTACCAAAATAAAATGTGTTATTTTTCAAAGTGATGCCCTAGGTCAATGTTTCTTTTGACATAAATGAAGCACGGCTCTAGCCACAACAGATGAAAATTTTCCATCATTCTTGTTCCACTTCTTGAGTTTCAATGCATGCGGATTATGGATACCCAGTATATTGAGTACACAAGAAGCCATCTTTGATTTGGAAAGTCCATACCCACCACGGACAGAGTTCGACTCTGGTATGATGAGTCACATAATGTTGAAGCAATTTGAAGAATTGAAATGTTTACCCCTATACCTAAGCACCACAAACATAACATTGTCAAAGACATCACAAGCCACACCAGCCTCAGTCCCATGTGCTCTCTGTCGCTACGGCATTGTCTCTTTCACCAAACTTCCCCATACGATACCAACAAGAACATCAACATCAAGAACAAGCATCTCCTTGTCCTTCTGCAGTTGCTCCTCTGATGTCTTGGACACAGGAGCCCTCCTCACCGACCCTCACTACAGTTGTAAACCGGTTGTTTCAAGAACCGGATCACAATCCGTTGGATCATCATCTTTTCGTTCTCTTAGCTGCCGGTTTCCTCCACGTCTCTGCCTCGGTGGCTTGGATGTTGATGAACCGCAGAGCCGGTTAATGAATGGTTCATATTCAAGAACCGGTTTAGGGTCCAGGCGATCCACGTTGGAGGTTGAAGGCAAACGTTCTTGGTTTTGTGCTCTTAACCATTGTGTTAACTTACAACCGGTGGAAGTCCTTGCTAACTAACACGTTTTGTTCTTTTTTTTACTAATATTTGTTCCCATTTTTTTGGAGAGAACAAATGTGCTAACTGGTTCTGTGAATGGTGTGGTGATTATTCATTTTGTATAACTGAAATGTAATTAATTTGGCTTTCCAAAGGGTGTGTATATAAGTATTATTTGTGAATGTGTACATTTTTTTGAAACTATATGAGTGTACTTGTCAAGGCACATGATTCTTGAACATTAGCTTCGTTAGTATCATACCTTCATACTTGAAATAAACAGAGTTTACAGATTAAAAAAGAACATACATTTAGATAGTCTTTATGAGAGCAACACAATAACTGAAAATTTATGGGATTACAGCAAATTTACATAAAGCTCAGGAGGAATTGATAAAACAAAATTAACACAGATAATGTTATAGAAAAAGAAAAGATCAAAGAAAACAAAAGAACAATGCAACACTAATGAGGCTTGCAAGGTCAAGAAAAAAACTTCTAAAACATGGAAAAAAATAAAAAAAAAGCTCAGCGAGGATAATGCCAATAGATTACTAACAACGAATGAGTCTTCTTCTCCGTAAGATGCTTATGCGTTCCAACGTACATCCACTGGTCTAGGGGAGAAAGAAAAAGAAGTTGAAAGAGAGATCTGATAATTATGAGAATGATGATCATCTTATGATTTAGAAAGAAGAAGAATGATATGATGTCATGATAATTATGATCATATCATGATCAAGAAAGGAGAGAACTGATATGGTGCTTTTGCTCTGAACTGATGATGTGAAGTGAGGGGGCAGGTGAGTAGGGTTTATATAGGGAAACAGGGGATGCGATTAATGGGAAGCTATAGTTTTAATTATTATATCAGTTTTTTTTTTTGTTCTATTAGTATTTATTTCAATTTCGCGTTCTTACAATCTCTTATCTTCAAATAAATTACTGTTTTTTTACTGCAGAACTAATTCAAGCGACAAGGGGAAAAACTATAGTATGAATCTGTACACTACACAATCTACATATATAGTTTAGTTGAAGACATATTAATGTATAGCTAGACAGTTTAAAACATATGAAACAAAATATTAGACAATTTACTTTCTTTGCTTGCATATTTTTTTCATATATAAGGAAAATTCATGTTTTGTCAGATAGACGATGGTTAAGCTCTTTTTTCTTTTTTCCCAAGTAAGATGATATAAACAAAAGAAAACTCATATGCTATGGGCATATGGCTATGAGAGACGGGTGCGTAATAACTGTAATCTAGTTTTATTGTATTTAATGGTGTTTTATATGTATGAGGATAACAAAGAAAAAGCTGCAAATATATAAATAGGTGTAATCATCACAAACTTTGCGATGTGACAATACATGGTCAAGCTTCTGTCTCTTTCTCTGTTCTTCCCTCTGATGGGCTTTTAATACTGTTATTATGTCTCCATTATTTTCAGAAACAAGGAAAGAAAGTAATTTCGAAATGGAAGAAGTCTTTGCCATGCCATGCATGCTTAAAACCGATTCTTCAACGTTCAGAATGTCAAAGTCAAAGAATCTCTTATACCAATATAGAAAGTGGGACAGGACGACTTTGATCGTCTGGTTTATTTAATCGTAAATTTTTCTTCTTTATTTTTTGAAACACAATCGTAAAAATATACTTTTGTCAATTTGGAAGAAAATAAAAATATCACACATGCAACTAGTTATTCGAGAAAGTATATGGACGATCCTAGTAACCATTTCCGCTATTGGGGAAGAGACCTGAATTGCTAAGCAATAGATTTCAAAATTTTGTTATTTATTTAGTTACAACTATCTCTAGTTGATTAGAGAGTAACTAGAGACCAATGATTAAAGTTTTAAGCCCTATTATTAAATGTATATTACAATGTCTAATGTTGGATTTTGGTCAACTTAATTATGTATGCTTCGTCATATGAATTGTTTTCAACCTTTCATTTACAGTTTCTTGTTTTGTTTATTTGGGTTTTTTTCAGCTTATTTAGGCCCATATTTGGTTGGGCTTTGTTTTCAAATAATTCTTGGGTAACTAGTAGACTCGAGTAGTCCACTTAAAGATTTTTTTTGTGGGCAATGTCCACTTAAATAATTTGAATTTTTTTTATTTATCATATACTTTTGAGACAAAACAAGTGACGTTTATATGTTTGACCCAAAAAAAAAAACAAGTGACGCTTATATATCATGAGTTTTCCACTCTCTGCACATCTGTTCTTATTAAAAAATGATGTTACATAACACATGCTTTACGACTATGACGACGACCTGCAGTTAGGGGCATTTTGGTAATGTTGTCTCACTCTCTGAAAGATTTTATACACAAACTCACGCTAACTTCTATTTTGTATGCACTTCTCCAAAAAGTAAAGCTTGAAGATTCCAAACCAAGACGCAAAAACACAAAAGAACTGTTGTAGTGACGAAGGAGAAGGAGAAGGAGAAGGAGAAGGAGAAGAAGAAGATGGTTTTCACTCCATACCCAGATTTCCTCATTATCTACAACTCCAAAGATGTTTCTCTTTCTCAACGTTTGGTAATTAATATTTTCTGTTCTGTATAGCTCTTAACCTGACTCATTTCTTCTGCTGAACCTATACCTGTCGATTTTTTTCATATCTTAAGGTTTGGTTCTGTTCCTGGTTTTGCAGTGTTCGGTTCTGTTTCTGATCACTTAGTGTATGTTCTTGTTTTTTAGAATTTGGTTATGTTCCTGGTTTTATAGGGTCTGGTTATGTTTGCTGTTTGGCCATATCATTTGTCTGGTCTCTTAGAGTTTTGTTCTGTTTCTGATCTCTTAGGGTTTGGCTTTGTTCCTGTTTCTTTGGTTTTGGTTACGTTTCTGATCTTTTAGGATGTGGTTTATGTGATCTCATGACACCGTTTTATCTTATGATATATATTTCCTCTGTTCTTGATACCTCTTTTTGTCACTAAGTGGAGCGTTTGATTTTTTGTTGACATTGTCAAAGTAGGTACTCCCAAGTGATTACAGAAAGTACTATCCAACACCTCTTCCTCAGACAGCTCTTCTCCGGAAGCCCGAAGGAAACTTCTGGACAGTTAAATGGAAAATAAGTCAAGATGAGGTGATTAGCTTCGGAGATGGCTGGTCTAAGTTCATCTCAGACAATGATCCCAACGACGGAGACTTTCTCCTATTCGCCTACGATGGTACCCGAAACTTCTTGGTAAGCATTTTCCGTGATGGGTTCCCTATGAAACCAGAAGCTTCTGTCGCAATACAAGAAATTTCAGATGATGATGAGAAGGATGAAACAGCTGGTGGTGATGATGATGATGATGATTATGATCAGAACATGATCATTTCTCTTTCTTTGGGAAGCAGCGACGAAGAGTATGATAATGGTGATACAACGGTTTGTGAAGTTAACAAAAGTAATGGAAGTTTACAGAAAGGTACGTAACGTAACACAACCTTATCTTTGTTTATGTTTTCATCAAAAAATGTATTTAATCCTAAATAGTGAAATGATTATTATTTCATAAGGGAGTTCTTCGCAAAGGATACGTGCTCAACCTATTGATGATCCGGAGATGTATATTGATGATCCCAAGAACCCTTGCTTTATTGCAACGTCGTCGTCATCTAGGCCTACGTTGGTAAAAGATCTTTCATCTTGGGCTTGTATTTTTATATTTTTTTTTTATATTTTAGTATTAAATATGTTTTTGTTGCTTTGCAGGTGATTGCTATGCAAGTAATAAAAGACTATGAACTGAAGTTTGGTAGCACAGTTAAGTTCAATGATGGATTTGGTGAGTTAGAGGGGAAGATTGGATACTGGAAAGATCGTGTTGTCGTTCACAAGTGGCAAGAAATCTATAAAAGAAACGATGCAACGGAGACCGATCTCATCATATGTGAGCTTCTTCGTGAAGGAGGTATTGTTCGATACATCAAGCCTCATTTCGTTAAGAACTGATTTGATGTTTATTTATGTGTTTGAAGACTTTAAGTTAAGAGTTGATGGTTATGTAATGTTTTGTCATTTCTTTTAGGCTGATGTGTTACATCCTTCGTGGCTCATGATCTTGTTGAAACTTGGTGTTTGCTTTTGGATTTAGGTTGTGATCTTTTAAATATTTGGTGTCGAATGTGTTATATATAGAAATATGATGGAGTGTGCCTCAATATTACATTTTTAAACTGGGTTGGGTATGTGATAAATGTGAACACGAGTAAAAATAGATTGAAGTAGGAAACAACCCCATCATCTAAAATACCAAATACTTACATGTACAATAAAATTCTCCCATTAATATTTTTAGTTAAATTTATGTTTTAGATTTAAATTAAAATGTTTTATTTAAACTTTTAAAGTCAAAACATCAATCAAAAAGAACATCAATTATTTGTATAAGTAACGTGGACTTTCCCGGCACTGGCTTGCATAACCGCCGGAAACAAAAACTCCGTTCTTGGATATGCTTCCTAGACAAGCCTTAATATAAGCCCAATTGTATCAGTTTTACTCTAATTAATGGGCCCATATAAACAATTCTAACGAACTGTCGACAAAATTTGGTGGGAATGCAACGGCCGAACACAAAAAAACAGAGCAAATGTCTCCCCCTCTCTTCCTTGATTTTTAAAAAATACAAAACATAGATCCTTTGTCTGGAAAATTGAGAGCCAAACCAACGGTAAATTTAGTGTTAATATGTTTTTTGGCTGGAAAAGTTTAAACTATTCTTTGTCGAATTCGAACCTACCTAATCTAAGTACCTACACCACACGGTCCATATATACCAATATTTCCGTCAGTGTTTTTGATTTTATTTATCATATATACTTATACTTCTCATAAAATCATGTTTCGAATTACTATCCGTTCAGATATATTCTGTTTAAACATCTATATTTCTAACAGTTGCAGACATATATACACACATGCAAAATGATAGCAAAAACGCAAATGATACTTACAGGCAGTGATACGGCTAGAGATAAGAGGAGTAGAATGGAGAGATA